CTAGCATATTAAAAATATAGTGTATCCTAACAATTATTACAAACAGAATACCCACCCACATGCAAAAACAACCCACCCACATGCAAAAACAAAACTGAAACTTTTTTATTTTCTTCTGACAATCGCACCTCCTAAAGGAAGAAATGCATCCTGTTCTTGCATTGGAGAGTTCAGTTTGTAACCTAGGACTTGCTTGTCAGTGCACAGAAATTAGATCAATCTGATACCATATATATATATATTTTAGAAATGAATTGGAAAATATTTGAACACCTTGTCTTAAAATATTTTATTCATCATGTTAAAATAAAACGTTCCATAATCAATTTCTTTTCTTTTTTCAATTTTTCGGAAAAAACCAAAAAGGCTTCAGGAAAAAAAACGGAAAAACCCTGTTTTTTTTCTGAATTTTTCCGTTTTTTCCCCGGGCCTTCCCATCTCTATCCAGGGTTGCTACACAGAGGCAGGCAATGGAGAACCTCCTTTGTTCGCCTCTTGCTCTGAACAACGGCAAAGCCACCTCTGAACGTCTCTTGCCTTGAAAACTCCACAGGGTCACGGGAAGTACGCTGTGACTTATCAGCGCTTTCCAGACCACGGGGAGGGCAAGATCTTCCACAGCCTCGCCTGAAGGCCTCTCAGATGTCACTATCGGGCCACGGAACCCACCCACCAGTACGTTGGGAAGTACGCTGTGACTTATCAGCGCTTTCCAGACCACGGGGAGGGCAAGATCTTCCACAGCCTCGCCTGAAGGCCTCTCAGATGTCACTATCGGGCCACGGAACCCACCCACCAGTACGTTCCTCCAAGACCCCAAAATACATTCCCACCTATATTCCAGTACTCACAATCCTTTTGAAGTTCTTCTGCCAAACGACCACCGCATGCAAGATATCAAGGCTGGATGGGGGAGGAGGGAGACATAAGAACATAATAACATCAGAAGAGCCCGGCTGAATCAGATCAATAGTCCAGCCTCCCGTCTCACACAGGGGCCAGCCAGTCCCTCTGGAGGGCCAGCAACAGGGCAGAGAGGCCGAGGCCTTCCCCTGAGAAGGACACCAGAAGAGCCCTGCTGGGCCAGACCAGGGAGGGTCCCTCCAGTCCAGCCTCCCGTCTCACACAGGGGCCAGCCAGTCCCTCCGGAGGGCCAGCAACAGGGCAGGGAGGCCGAGGCCTTCCCCTGAGAAGGACACCAGAAGAGCCCTGCTGGGTCAGACCAGGGAGGGTCCCTCCAGTCCAGCCTCCCGTCTCCCACAGGGGCCAGCCAGTCCCTCTGGAGGGCCAACAACAGGGCAGAGAGGCCGAGGCCTTCCCCTGATGCTGCCTCCTGGCTCTGGGATTCAGAGGTTTAATGCCTCTGAATGTGGAGGTTCCCCTCAGTCACTACGCCCAGTAGCCACTGAATGACATCCTTCATGAATCTAATCCTCATTTCAAGATGTGGCCTCTGGCAGCACAGTCCACCTCTCAATCACTCTCTGTGTAAAGTAGTATTTCCTTGTGTCCGTCCTGAACCTACTGCCCATCAGCTTCATTGGAAGCCCTCGAGTTCCACCACTCTGGGAGAGGGAGACAAAGTTCTCTCTGTCAGCTTTTTCTTTACCCAGCGCATGGCTTTATCAACCTCTCTCATGTCCCCTCTTGTTTGTCCCACTCTACGAACGTCTGATGAAGATATCTATGAAACAGGATAATATACCGGATGCCTGTCTTTTGCCAGAAGAAGAGGAGGCGATTGGATTTATACCCTGCCCTTCACTCCTGAAGGAGTCTCAGAGCGGCTTACAAACTCCTCTCCCTTCCCCTCCCCGCAACAGACACCCAGTGAGGCAGGTGGGGCTGAAAGAGCTCTGAGAAAACTACCCTTGAAAGAACAGCTCTGAGAGAACTTGTGACTGACCCAAGGTCACGCCAGCCGCTGCATGTGGAGGAATGCGGAATCAAACCCGGCTCTCCCAGATTAGAGTCCGCCCTCTTAACCACTACACCAAACTGGCTCTCCACGCAAAATGTTCTGATAAATTTTGGAAATGTAAGAGTAAAAAGGGTACATTTTACTATATGTGGTGGCTATGCGATGTTACTAAAAAGTTTTGGAAATGGGTCCATAGTTTGATGGAGAAGATACTAAGAGCAAAGATTCCATTTACTCCAGAAGTCTTGCTGTTGAATATATTTCCAAAGGATTATGAAAAAGAGAATAGGTATTTGACTGTTTATATGACGACAGCTGCAAGAATTTTATATGCCAAATATTGGAAAACTATGGTGATACCAACGAAACAGGAGTTTGTGAATAAACTTTTTGAAACAGCAGAAAATGATAAACTGACTCTAGAAATGAGATTAAGTAAAAAAACATGGAAAAAGTTTTATGATTGGTATAACACAATATCAGACTTCTCTATAAGAATGAGGACTAGAAACATCAATGTCATTTCAGCGCTTACCGGGGCATTACGGCAAACACATCAGGGTGCAGGTCAGCCAGACCCTCGAATCTGGCATCGTAATGTTTCAGGGACTCCACCCAGGCCTGGACAGGTACCAGGTGCTTGGGGACAGCAGTGTTGCATTTCCGTAGGATGGGGTCACTGGAGACCCTGCCACAGCGCGTCGCTGAAAGGAAGCAAGAGAAAAAGACGCAGAACAATCGCACCAGATGCAGCAGCTGCTGTTTACCTTAGGAAATCGTTTTTCAAACTTGCAAGGAAAGACACAGGTTACTATTCTGCAGACCATTTACAAGGCCCTGGGCTCATGCATACCTGCGTTAGTTATCTACAACCCACCAACACTTTGAAAAGATGCATGAATCACCTCCCATCCTGTTTCTTTTGAAAACTTCAAGGGAGTGCAAGAAAAGCTTTCCGAGGAAGGCTGGAAAAACCACGTAAAATAGCAAAGACCTCCCTTCAGTTTTAAAGATGGCAACAGATTCTAAAAACGTCCCTCAGGACCGTTCCGAATTTTGTTGGTTTAAGTACCGGACAGTCAGCTGGAAGTTCTGTCTAAGAACAAGCACTGCTGCCCCCTGGAGGACACACAAGGAACTGGTTTAGCGAGCCATAATACATCTCACCTTACCAATTGCCTTAACCCAGCCTTAGCTGTATTTATTGCTCAGTTACTTATGCATCTGGACTCGAATTAGCCTTTCCTGGCAACACCCTCTACCTATATGTAATGGTTGGTGGTCTGAAGAAATGTGTTGTTCAGTTGCACAGTCCAGTCCGACTCTTCGCAGCCCCATGGACCCCATCACACCAGGCCCTCCTGTCTTCCGGCATGCCCCCGGAGTTTGCTTAATTTCATGTTCGTTGCATCTATGACACTGTCCAACCATCTCATCCTTTGCCGTCCCCTTCTTCTTTGACCTTCAGTCTTTCCCAGCATCAGGGTCTTCTCCAGTGAGTGCTCCCTTCTCATTTGGTGGCCAAAGTATTGGAGCTTGTCTCTGGCCTTCCAGGAAACAGTCAGGATGGATTTCTTTTAGGATTGACTGATTAGATTTCCTGGCGGTCCAACAAACTCTCAAGAGTCTTCTCCAGGGTCCAGCGAACTCTCAAGAGTCTTCTCCAGCACCATAGTTCGAAACCATCTATTCTTCGGCGTGCGCATGCACACAAAAGCTTGTACCCAAAATAAAACTTTTGTTGGTCTTAAAGGTGCCACCGGACTCAAACTCTGTTTAGCTACCTAGCTGTTTAACAAAACTAGGCAGCCACCCGTACATAATAACCAGTCCCTGTGCATATGAGGCACCATGAAATACTACACAGTACCTACAATAGGTACAAATAGCTACAAAAGGAGCTGTGGTGGCTCAAGTGGTTAAGACGCTGAACTGCAGGCTGTGGAAGGTCAGTAGTGGGCACACCAGCAGTCTCATCAAGAAAACCGAAGCGTTACGTAAAATGTTTATGCAAGTTGAGAAGATGTGAAAATGCTACTGATTCCAGCCGAATACAATCAATAACCAAAAACCAATGGCCTGGATTTTCGTCTTCTCTGTGTAATGGTAGGTTTTATCATTAGACCAGGATTCTTAATGTTCTGCAGCCAAACAAGGGGCTCACCTGGGAGGGAAGTTGCCTCTGCCTCATTAGCAGAAACGCCAGCGATGCCTGGAACGCCCTTCTGATTAGACAAGGTGGACAAGACCTGGGAGTGGAAAGGAAAGCAGAGGTGGAACGTTGGAAGGACCCAAGGAACTCCACCACAAGGCACAGAAGATGTGAAAATGCTACTGATTCCAGCCGAATACAATCAATAACCGAAAACCAAATTGACTCAAAATGGCCTGGATTTTCGTCTTTTCTGTGTAATGGTAGGTTTTATCATTAGACCAGGATTCTTAATGTTCTGCAGCCAAACAAGGGGCTCACCTGGGAGGGACGTTGCCTCTGCCTCATTAGCAGAAACGCCAGCGATGCCTGGAACGCCCTTCTGATTAGACAAGGTGGACAAGACCTGGGAGTGGAAAGGAAAGCAGAGGTGGGACGTTGGAAGGACCCAAGGAACTCCACCACACCGCGTCTACGTGCAGAGGCGAAAATGCTGAGACCCTTTCGTGACCCAGCTTGAAGTTGGCTGCTTCCCATCTTTTCCCCTCTCCACATCCACGAGGTTCCGTTTCATTTATTACGGTCAAAGACCAGCAGAATCAGGTCTACAAAATCAAACTAGACATACGAACAAGACAGTTGTTAAAGTTCTAAAAGTATTTATATACAATGAAGAATACAATAAAAATGCAAAACTGAAACGGCTGAACTGATGTCTTGGCTTGCATTGGCTACAATTAAGAAGGCATGCAAAGCAGTCTTCTCCTGGAGAAAATCTGGAGCAGGGTAAATTTTCTCCGCAGATTTTGCTGGGCTCTTTCTGCTTCTGTGTTTGTTTGACCCGCATGCAATCTGAGGGGTGCGCTGTGATTCCGGTAGATCTCCCGGCTCCACCGGGAGCCTGGCAACCAAAAGCAATTCCAGCGCCCTCCCTGCCAGGTTGCACGACACACAGAAAAGGCAAGCGATAAAGCCACCCTCTTCGGACCCGACCAGCCCGGACCCCGCGCAGCCTCACCCGCGACAACGACGCCCCCCGACCCAGCCACGGAACCGCCAGCCGGAGCATCGCGCCGGTCTCCGCGCCCCAGATCCGAACCGAGCACCTCCACGCACGCGTTCAAAAGCGCCAGCTTCCGGCCTTGTGCGATGACGTCAGAAGAGAGCGGGGGAGGCCGTGAGCCAACCATACAGCTCAACTTCCGCTAAGGGACGCCACTCTACCCCTCTCCATCTCTATGGTGTTTCGCCGCCGTTGCTGCAACGAAGCGGCTTTTCGATGGGAAGCTCATAGAGGTAGAAAGAGGCCACGGTCCTAATACACTTCGGGTTCCCAATTGAACGGCTTTTCCACCCTCACAGCAAACGGTGGGACGTTCGTTGCGGCTTCAGATTCTTAAAAAGGTAAAGGTTCCCTTGCTCGAAAGCCAGTCGAGTCCGTACCGGAAGTTAATAATCACTCAAGCCTTGTGTTCTCTCTCTAAAGAGAGATGCTGTTTTAGGACGCCGTGGGGGTGTGGTCTAGCCCCGGGGGCGGGGCTTAGAAATCAAACTATGGCGCTCAGAGGCAAGAGGAGGCTCATTTGCATATGCTAATTAAGGGTATTAAACCCCCTGGTATATCATCAAGTCTGTAGCTGGGGAGCCTGCATTGGAATATCGGGCTGGCTTTTGGTAGCTGCAGAAGATTGCGGTCTGTAGAGCTGGGAAAAGTCCAGAAGAGGGCAAACAGGATGCCTTAAAAACTTGGAATAATTCTGGGATATCTCCAGGCACTGCCTGGAAGTTGGCAACTGTAAACATTGCACTGATTTCACAGTACGCCACACTATGGAACCCTGTTAGACCTCCAAGTAAAAATACATTGGCCTGCGCTGTACATTTTTGCCAACATTAGAAAAAGAAGAGATTGGATTTACACCCTGCCCTTCACTACCCAAAGGTGTCTCAGAGTGGCTTACTAATGCCTTTCCCTCCCCCTCCCCACAACAGACACCCTGTGGGGTAGGTGGGGCTGAGAGAGCTCTGAAAGAATTGTGCTTGAGAGAACAGCTCTGAGAGAACCCAAGGTCACACAGCAGCAGCATGTGGAGGAGTGCGGAATCAAACCGAGCTCTCCGAAATTAGAGTCTGCCGCTCTTAACCACTACACCAAGCTGGCTGTGGGGCCGAGAGAACTCTCTCGAAAGCTACCTTTGAAAGAACAGCTCTGAAAGAACTTGTTATTGACCCAGGGTCACACCAGCAGGTAAAAGTGGAGGAGTGGGGAATCAAACCCGGCTCTCCCAGATTAGAGTCCATGCTCCTCACCACTACACTAAACTGGTTCTTGTGGCATCAGGAAAATAATATTATACCCAGACTGGGGTTATCAGTATCTTCAGATCATGAGGGGTTTGTTTCCCCCCCTTTCTCATGAAGTTTTTAAAATACATCTGAATTTCCTGATATCTCACTTTTCATCAGCTCACCGAGCAGGTCACCCCAAATTCCCACTTAAGTCTACTGAGCAGGGTTTCCTCCCCATATAACCTCCAATTTTCTGTTTGACAGCTGAAGGGATTTTAGCCCAGAAATGCAGATTCCACCCTGGCCTCTGTGAGACAGAGGGGTTATGAAAACAGGGTGGACTCCTGTGTCTCCAGTTTGGTGTAGTGGTTGGTTAAGTGCGCGGACTCTAATCTGGGAGAACCGGGTTTGATTCCCCACTCCTCCACATGCAGCTGCTGGTGTGACCTTGGGTCAGTCACAAGTTCTCTCAGAGCTGTTCTCTCAAGGGCAATTGTTGAAAGAGCTCTCTCAGCCCCACCTACCTCACAGGGTGTCTGTTGTGGGGAGGGGAAGGGAAAGGAGTTTGTAAGCCACTCTGAGACACCTTTGGGTAGGGAAGGGCGGGGGATAAATCCAATCTCCTCCTCCTCTTCTTCTTCTTCATAACAGAAGAAGAAGGAGAAGAGGAGGAGGAGGAGATTGGATTTATACCCTGCCCTTGACTACCTGAAAGAGTCTCAGAGCGGTTTACAATCTCCCATCCCTTCCCCTCCCCACAACAGACACCCTGCGAGGGAGGCCAGGCGGAGGGAGCTTGTAACGATTTTAAGTTATATGGGTGTGTGTGCCTTTAAATGGTTGGTAACTGTCAAAAGAACAGGGGGTGAAAGAGAGAGAAGAGTAAGTGAGGTGATTGGTCGGTGACTGAGAGTGTGTGGGCGGAGCTAAGAGAAGTGTGTGGGGGGGAGAGAAGGTTCAGTTTGAAATTTGAAGTCAGCAGTTAGCAGTTGTGGTCAATCCACACAGAGTCTGTGAGAAGCAGTCTTCTAACTAGCATCATATAGAGGTGCTGAGAAAGGCATTAGGATTCTAAAGGAGGAAGAAAATATACTTAAGGGGGCATATTAGGCAAAATCCAGTATAGTCTGAGTATTTGAAGAGTGTGAGGGGGAAAGGCTGACAGAGCTACCTGAGTAAAAAGGGAAAGCTTCTACTGAGCAACTTAAGAAAACGTCTTGTAACCAATACACTTCTTTTCCCAATAAAGTTTGATCTTGTTAACCCCGAGTCTCATCCTCAGAACCACATAGTCCAAGGAAGGGGCCTTAGAGCATGGGCACAATACTGTGGGAAAGGTTAAAGACTGGAATTAAATTCCTAGTGGCGGTGATAGATCGTTTGAGTGAGAGAAAGAAACAACAAGAAGTTTAAAACCACGTCATAGCTAACCATGCAAAATAAAAGAGAGGTGCCGTCCATGACATGTTGGCTTAGTGGTGGGATATAAAACATTCTGAGAAAGGGAAAAGACAAAGGATATAAAACATTCTGACATGAAGGACTTGTCCCAAAGGATAGAAAATCCCGGGAGGAAAGAAAACTCTGAGAGAAAGATTGCTGAGGAGATTTAATGTTCAATTGAATGCTATGAGGGAAATAGAATTGTTATGAAGGGAAAAGACCTAAAGAAACTAGGAGAATTCTTACGGAAAACATAATCTTGTGAGGTTTAGTAAAACTGTAGAAAGAAATGTTAAAAAGAGAGAAAAACTGCAGTTTCTAGGAATGAAGGAGGAGGCTCTGATTCAAAAGTGCAAAGAATTAAATTTACCTCATGAGGGGGAAAAGTGTAGAAGAACTGAGAGTTATTCTTAGACAAAGTAGTGTGGATAGTAGAACCACAACTGAGAGAAACCCTGAGGGGGATGTATAACCCCGGTCCAGAATATTTAGAGTTTCTGAGAGAAAAGTGGAAAGCTGAAGCAGAACTAGAAAAATTAATCTCAGAGCTCAAGAGATGGAAAGACCAGCCACTTTGGAAGCAGGAAGATTACAATTAGAGAGAGGCTTAAGAATGGGGATAAAAAGGAGGGAGACCCTGAACCCAGAGCTGATTTTCCTCAGGTTACCCTCAAAAGATTTCATGGTGTATGTGTCAGTAGATGATCCACAAACGTGTCAACTTTCAAAAGGTCTGCTCAGAACTGGGGAATACCAGACACACAATATATGAAGTATTTACCCAGTTTAACTAGAGGGGAATTGGCTGAAATCTACAACACATTTCCCTCCGATAAACCCGTTGTTTATGCTGAATATAAAGAGGCAGTATATGACAGATTCACCTTAGGTGCTGACTACTTTCCTTTCGTTTAGACGTTTAGAAGCCTAGTACCACAGAAAGAGAAGTCATTTAAGTAGTTTAGTGCCAAACAGACTATTTTGAGAAGTGGATGTCATCTGCCAAAGCTAACTCTAAAGAGGGAATAAGGCATCTAATAATTCTGGATCATTTTTTATTTCAACTTCCCTCAGAGATCAGGCTTCTGGTAAAGGGTAAGCTTCCGAAGAATGTCAAACAGGCAGCAGATTGGGCTGATAATACTTAATGGAGGTTCTTGGGACCACCAGGAAAAGAAAGACTTTCCTTATAAACCAGATTTTAAATCAAGGAGAGGACAAGAGGAGGAAAGGAAAGGAACATATGAGAGAGCTGAGATTACAAAAAGACAGGATACACATATAGACGGAAACAAAAGTGGATACTGGAAAGATAGACAGTGCTTTTTATGTGGTCAAAAAGGGCATTTGTCTTACCACTGTTTAAAGAGCCAACCCAAACAGACAACACTCGAGCATGTACGGAGGGTCACTAGAACTAGCTCAGAGAATGAGAGGAAACAGGCTAGAGACTCCAGCAGCTCAACAGGCACACCTGAAAGATCCAGTAAAAACTGACTCCCTTACCCATAAACACTGAAGAAACAGTTTACATGTGTGGGGTAAAGATACATAAGATTGCACAAGATACTGAACTGAGAGAGGCGGTACAAATAAATGGGAGAGATATTTTAGCCATTCTAGACACAGGAACATCAGCCACTCCAGTCAGGGTAGATTTGGTTAATGACGAAAACATGATTCCAGATAAGCATATATCCTTACAAGGTGTTTGGGGAAATTCTAAATGCGTGCCATTAGCACAGCGGAAAATCAGGGGTCATTTCGTAGAAAAAGAGCTAGGGGGACTCATTAGCATAACTCATTAGCATATGCCACACCCCCTGACATCACTGGAAGTGTGTCCTCTTCACAGCCGGCGGTGACCTCCAGCGGGCACCAGCAGGGAGCTCCAGGCCCCGCCCTCTCGCATCTTAGCATATATCCTTACAAGGTGTTTGGGGAAATTCTAAATGCGTGCCATTAGCACAGCGGAAAATTAACTGGAGGGGGAAAGAAGAATATTTCCTTGTGGCAGATATTAAAGGACAGAAAATACCTGTAATATTAAGAAGGGATGTAATGGGAGCAAAGGCAAGGATTGAGATATGTACAGGCTCAAAAGATTTGCCTCAGGGCGAACCATCAGGCCCCTAGCAATGCTCCCTCTAAGCTGTGGAGTCTTGTGAGCAAAGATTCTACTTTGTGAGCTACAGGCATTAAAGTTGTGAGCGAGCGGTTTGGCTGCTGCATAAATTAGTTTGCTCTGGAGCCCTCCTTCCTGAGCTGAGACAAAAATGTGTGAGCTGGAGGTTAAAAAACAGTGACCTCACACTAACTCAGTTTAGAGGGAGCACTGGCCCCTGGGTATATTAGCAACAGACACAATTGATACCTTGCAGGAGGAAAGGAGAGACACA